ACTTTTTGTACTACACAGAATTTCCACAGTCACTTTAAACTTAACAACCTTTATAACACGCGCAAAAATCACAGTAATTCACATACTTTAGTTACAGTACCTACTGTTCGCTTGACTCAGTTATATTTTCTTCAATCTATATGCCCATCTCACTGGCTTTCTTTACCAGGCTTATATACTAAAAAAAAGAGGGCGTTTAGCAAACACTGGGAGATTCGCGGGGTTCCCGATAATTCTAGAAACTCCAGAGCGCATGCTCCCAGCGTCACGCGACTTCCCTTAGTATTGTTCGTCCTGAACAATAGCCACTTACATTAAACCAATATATAATTCACAATAATTTAATTAAATGTACAGAATTTACAAACACAAAATTAAAATACAACAAAGTATTTTAATTTTACAGGATGCATCTTTTTCCTTACTTGTCTTCATCTTATTGGTTTCTGCTTCACGTGGGGTTCATCTGCTCCTTCAGGAAATGTCCCATTATAGGTAGCAGTCACATTAGTGGTAGTGACTTCATTAACGGCTTCACTGTTTTCCCTCTCAAAACCGGGTAGAGTTTCTTCTCTAACATTGTCTTTTTCAGGTGACATGTCATCAGCAGCGTTTCCGTTATTCACTTCATTCCAACTGAAATGTCCTGGACCGTGATAATTCCAAAGCCTGTTGGCATGCACCACCTTTCGCTTACCTCGCCGACCACACTTTATTCAGAAATTCACGTCTGAGAGACGATCTACTATGTCATATGGGCCCTCCCATGGAGAAGACAACTTAGGAGACTTTTCTTTGGTCTTCCTGGGATTATACAACCACACCTTGTCTCCTGGTACAAAGCTGACTTCAGTAGATTTCTTATCATAACATAGCTTCATGCAATCAGCAGACGTTTTTAAGTTTGAATGTACTTGATGATGAATATCATCCATCCTTTCAGATAACACTTTCACGAACTCTGGTACATTTTCAGGCAACTCTTTGTATCTCGGGCATCCTGTTATCAGGTCCACTGGCAACTGAAGTTCCCAACCAAACACCAACTTGGCTCTGGTGGCTTCATGCTCTGCTGTTCTATAGGCCATCAACAGTGGAGGGGGTAAGACATTCCAGTCATCTTAGCATCTATTACAAAACTTTGCCAATTCCTGTCCCAGTGTCCAATTGTACTTTTCTACCATCCCATCAGACTGTGGGTGAAGTGGCATAGTTCTGGTCTTTCATATGCCAAACAACTTGCAGCATTCATGGAACACAGCTGATTCAAAGTTAAGGCCTTGATCTGAATGCAGTT